GTTTTTTGGTGTTTTTTTGGTGGGGGGGGGGGGGGGGGTACGCAGGGAGGGACGCGACGAGAAAAGACGGGGTGAAAAGCTCAGCATGAAGGAGGCCGGAAAAGAAGCTAATCCTACAGCAGTACTTGGATAGGTTCTGCTGTGTGATGTGCAGAAAGCTGGAGGAATCGTTTGGTCCGGCACAGCAGTCATGCAGAGATAAAAGTGCCGGGAAAAGGCTCACGAATTCCTTGCACGGATAAGGGGCGGGCTTCTAGCATAAACCGTTTCGGAAACAAATGGGCTTGGTGATGAACAGTTGATTGATGCCGCTGAATCTCCTGGCCTTACCCCCCGGCTGGCGACACGCACATGACATCTGAATTAGCTCCCATAACATAAACAACAGGTATGATGTCGTTGATTCTCGACAGCCGTTTGTTGCACTACTCGGCGGAACGCGTGCCCTTACCCGTCACACCATGCGGCGTTCATCCGGACTGCTGTTCATGTCCTGTTTGTTCTTGTTGCTATGTACATAGGCAAGGCTACACGGACAAATACCGTGGTTAACCAATCCATGGAACATGGTGGTCATATCTTAACGGCTATGTATATGTACGTAAGACAAGGATATCCATGTGCATAGGAAAGACTAGCAGACGAGGACAACTACCGTGGTCAACCAATCCATGGGATATCGTGGTCCTTTGCTATGTTTTCAAGGTTGATACTAATGCGTCGCGTCGCAATGCGTAATGGCTCACTCGTTGCTGCCGCCCCTGGGTTGCTTGTTGTCGCACCTGGAGCATGAGCAGCCCCTGAGAACAAGCCAGAGAGAGAGAGAGAGAGAGAGAGAGAGAGAGAGAGAGAGAGAGAGAGAGAGAGAAGAGTTGGCGTAGCATCGAAAGAAGGAGACGAGGCCGAGTCAACACCACAAGGCCCATGCACCAGGAGGCGGCATCAGTACCGTCAATTGCACGGAGCACCAGCACGGTGCGAGGACAAAAATGGAGAGCAAAACTCATCCCATTAGGGCTTTGCGGCTATATGCCGCTGGCGGCGGTACATCGTACAGCAATAAAATAGTGCACAAGACTTGCGAGGAGGACTGACAGAGATGATAGAGATGACACAACTAAGACGAAGTTAACGGACCAACCACATCAGCCTGTAGAAGCCGAGCGGGCAATAGAGCCGGTCCATCAAGTCATTTTTTTCCCGCGGAAGCACCAGAACCGTGGTTCTTAGCTAGCAACATGGGTGAGGGTTAGCAGGAGCAAGAAACTTTACGAGCCGCTCGATTTGACTCGTTCTCCTCCGCAGCGTCAGGCAACAAGGCGAGAAAGGCAACAAGGCGGCGAGGATACTGCTGTGTGCCATGCCGAACCACGTTACTCTGTAGGTCCAACAGACGAAGTTAAGCAAGCAAGTAAACGAGAGGTTCGGCGAGTTTCACGCTGTGCGGCACGAAAGAACAAAACGTGTCAGAGCGGCAGGAACCGTTACATACCGTTTCGATCACCCAGCCTTCATCCAAACCCGGCACCCAAAAGGCAGCCGTACGCTGGAAACGATTTTCAAGACCCGCATTTAGCGCCAAACCATTTTAACCTACAAGCTGGGCCAGCCAAGAAGCTCACTTTCGTTGTTTCGCGTCTCACGCTGCCAATTCCACGAGTTATTGGCTTGAAATTTTGTGCCTCTGAGAAGACAATAGAGGATGCGCCGGTGCCAGAATTTTTCGAATCTGAGTTGATTTGGGTATTAAATGCTCAATTGGCGGTGTAGTGGGGGATGCTTCCGGTACTGAAATCAGTATAAAAATCGTTTTTACAGATTAAGCCGAAATTTGGTGTGCACTTACCTGGGAGCATTGCGAGAACAATGATGGTAGTTACAAGGCTCAGGTCATCTTCCATCGAAAGTTATGGCCTCGTAAAATATCCTCTACAATACAACATTTTCCTGTATATTCCTATATATATTTTCGTCCCTGCGCCCAGGTGTAGAGGCCAGTAAGCAATTTTCTATTTACACCACGATTTTTACGAGTTGGAATCTGAAATTGTGACACGTGGTCGGTGTCAGTATAACGAAGACCTTGACTGGCCGTACTTTTTTTTTTTTTTAGTCCCCCTATCGCGACCAATCAAGACGCCATTTTTCCTTTAATAGGGCTACCTCGTGAAAAAAAAAAAAAAAGTACGGCCAGTCAAGGTCTTCGTTATACTAACACCGACCACGTGTCAAAATTTCAGATTCTAACTCGTAAAAATCGTGGTGTAAATCGTTTTCAACCATTTGGTAGGCGTCTTGGCTGGCCCAGCTTGTAAAATACCTAATGTGGAAATAACCGTTTCTTTTCTGGAAACAAATCATTTTCCGCAGGATAATACAGTTCTATGTAACATACACACCCACCATTGGCACTGCGGACAGTAGTATCGCTTGATCCCGTGCTGCAACTCTTCCCACTGCACCGGGAAATTCTTCGTCAGACACAGGACACAGTTCACGTGGGTGTTGTTGTTGGGGCACACGAAATGATGGCCTGGCCTGACGGGGGGGGGGGGGGGGGATCCGGGGATCATGCAAGGAAAAAAAAGGCAAAAAAAGGCACCGGGGTTGTTTCTCTTTTGAAAAAAACTTTCCTGTTTGTATTTAAAAATAAAAACATCATGAAGCTCTTGCCTTGCTACGCCCACAGCCACAACTCCCTGTATGCTCCACATAGTAGCAGCTCTAGGTCTACCTACCGCAACATCAAACACGATCCCCGCCACTACGACACAAAGCCCTAACCTGACCCAGTATCGTACCTACTGCGATGGCACCGGTGGCAGCTCATGCTCTTATCCATAACCAGGAAGCGGTTGTTGTACTCCTTGTTGGCCTTCCGCTGCGCCGCCCCGGCCGCCCCCGCAGGAACCGGAGCCCCCGGCCACTTAGTCACCCCCGCCGCCGCCGCCGCCGCCGCTGTGCCCTTGTTCCCGCTGCCGCCGCCCGTCCTTCCCCCCCTAGACGATGATGACGACGACGATAACTTAGCCTCCCCCTGGGGAGCGTACGCGTGAGGAGGCAGCCTAGGGCCGCACGCACGACAAGGGACCACGGGGGGGGTGTTACTCATGTTTTGCATACCTTAGCGGTTAGACCACTGACCACGCATCCTCGAGAGGACGGAGCATTGTTCCCACAAGACCGATCACCGATGGCCAATCGTTCTTCCCTACTTCAGGGGGGCGGGCGGGGGGGGGGGGGTTCATGTAAACGCATGCCGTAGCCGTTAGACCATTGACCTCGCATCCCTAGCATACAACGCCGGGACAGAGGGATTTCGCCGGCCCAGGCTACGTTTCACAAGGATGAAACAGGAGCTGGTCGACATCCTTGCGCGGGGGGGGGGGCGAACTCTGTGCGTGGGCTACGGTGGAGCTAGCTCTCCAGAACCTGAGCACCACAAGCGTTTTCGACCACAGACGCTCTCGCAACCCTCCCTACAATGCCTTCCGGATGGTGGGTGTTTCGGCTTGTCGTCGCCGACCAGGTTCGTTTGTCATGGTTGGGGGGGGCGGGGTTACCTCCTGCGTCCTTAGCTGAATTTCTTTTACTGTGAGGCACTAACAACAATGGGTTCCGTTCCACACTCCAAACGGAGACATGTGCGTAGGGATCCAATCAAAGAAATGCGATGGAAGAAGAGCGATTGACTGATTCATGACACGAGGGGGAGTCAGACAGCCAGGTGATGAACAAACTCTCTTCCTTGGTACTTAAAAGTAGTCTTCGGCAACACCGCCAAATACTAAATACTGAAAACCATCGTTATCGGCCCATCTATGTATGAAACTGCCCCACCCCCCCCCCCCGGTGTTTTGCCATCGGGGTTGGGTTTTCGTCGCTTGGCAACGACGTTGTAAAACAAGCCAAATCACTTCGTGAACTCGGCAACCAGGTTACCGGGTTTTTTTTACCTCGTTTTTTTTTTTGGCGGTAACCATAATGGTGGTCGAGTAGATCATGTTGTGCGGGGTGGAGAACCCTCACTCCGCGCAACGGGGATGATCGCACCACGTTGTGTTAAAATGGTCAACCATCCTCGAGGCAGTTACACAGTGCTTACAACTGGCTCTGGAAGTTAAAGCACCAGAAAATAAATTAAGTCATACGTAGCTGTCATCCGTACGCAAGGAAGTAAGCACAAGATGCCGAACACCTTTTGCAGGATGCAGCTCACCCTTCATGCGACTCGCCAAATACCTCACGGCGCTTCGCGCTTGGTGATGTGAGAGCCTGGTCCGGTGGGAACCCGGCGTGCTCCGTCCCGGCTTTGTAGGGATGC